ACAAGTCGTTGCTGCAGAGAGTATTCTAAAGCTTGCTGATTATTCCAAGCAGTATAAGATGGTCGAGATAGTACTTGAAAAATTATTTAAGGTAATTAATGTACCAATTTACCAATACTGCTTTTGTCATAAGTTCCTGGGTGAGAGCTCCAGCATCCGGCAAATAACCTGACTTCCTAATAAAATCATTATCACGCATAGGTCAGATCAGATTCCCTTCTGTTTTAAAGCTGCATGCACCTAGCTAGGCATGGTTCTCTTGGGGTTAGAGGGGCTGACCATCTTATTAGACGTGGTAACCCAGTGAAGCAGTCTGCAGGGCACGCACTTAAATATTTTAGCCAAACAAACTCTCAGTACATTTTTTAATAGCTACCATCTTTGATTTCAAAAGCACTGGGAGACTGGGCACAGTAGACAAATTAATGTAATATAATTGATATAGGCACTATTCTAACCCGGGGGTGGGGGAGGGGCGTACTTTAGGAATTTTTGGCTGGTTATGTGTTGCTGGGACCCTAGAACCTGTAGCCTATACCAGAGCTAGTTCAGCTGAATTTTGCTACCCTAGACTAAACTCCCAAATCCCCCCTATCCTAGAGTAGATTTTAGTAGCTTTTAAACTTGCTGATTTGATTTTTTAATATTTTTGAGTGGCAATTCCCGATTTTCCCCGGCCTAGGCTAAAATCTTCAACCACTATTGTTCAGTTTCCTGGAAAATTATACTTTATTCTAGACCCAAACTCTTTGATTTATATACGCTATCCCAGAGTAAACTGCTTGAAAACCATACCCTTCACAGCGGCACATACCTATAAAGCCCATAGTGAAGTTGAGAGGGAGAGGGATTTCTCACCTGTCTTCCCAAACCTCCCAGATGCATCACAAAAATCAATAATAACGGTTTTAAGGCAAGCAAAACCTGGTTCTCTGTATCTCTTGATATCAGTAAAATTAGTTGTTGTTAGTACAGTTCACAATCAGCTGATATAGCAATAAGCTATAAGCGCTAAGTTTTCTGTTAACCATGCATTTATCATGATTATCAATTTCCTCCAAACAAATGTCATAATCAAAGAAAAGGGTTATGAAAACTATCACCAAAATGAAAAATTTTTAATAAGGGAAAGTTCATTTAATATGACAAGGGGGGGGATGAAGATATTGAAACTCAAAGCTTGAAATTTTAGCAGCCCCCCTCGCTAGCGGTTCAATTTTTTAGGCGCCCCCTCCCTGGACGCCGAAAAAACTTCATCCCCCCCCCCCCCCCCCCCCTCCCCCACCCGCTGATGGACCCCCTCCCGGGAAGTTGCCATTCCTGTCTGGATTGCCAGCCACTTTTTGCACTTTTAAGAGTTTGTTTAGGTTTCAAAAAGCTGTTTTGTTTTCATTTTTTTGGGGGGGGGGGGGGGTGTAAAAATAAATATTGGAATGTGCTGGTAAGAGCAACTTTGTACCGTATTTTACCTCTAATACCATTGTGTTTTGATGCCATCATCATTTTTTCGAACCAATTTTCATTTTCCTTAGAGGTTCAAAAAATTGTTATTCCACCATAGTGTTCAAAAAATATATGTAGCTGTAAAAAGCAGAACGTTGTTACATGTACTTCAGTTTTGTTTTATTAGAATTCCACTCTTACCATTAAACCCATCTCAGCTCCATTTGTTCATAGTTCACTGAATACTACAAAGTTCTCCTCTTTGTTTCATTTATCTGCCTCCTCAATTCTACCCTTGAATGCATATTACTAACACCTGATTACTACTGATTTAGTTGTAACATATAGATCTCAGCATGTGTTATCAAAGAGGTAATTGCACTTTAGTTTTGTCAGTGAGAAAGTTTTAATTGATTCCCCATTTTAATTTGCAGCCATCCCATCGGATGTCCCTGCAGCAGTTGCATCAGATGGCAGGGCAAACCTCATGGAATCCATCCGTAAAGCTGGTGGCAAGGGGAATGCTAAATTACGCAGTGTCAAAGAAAGGAAGTTGAAGAAAAAAGCCGAGAAGGAGCAGTCTGCAGTGAGTGGTGGAGGTGGTGGTGACCTTATGGGTGACCTTTTCGCAAAGCTATCCATGCGTCGTAAAGGAATTTCAGGATCTAAAGGTGACTCAGGAGGCTCATCAGAGGCGGCATCGGGTGGAGGATCAGCCATGGACAAGGTGTCAGCAATGATTCCTGCCCCACCCAAGACTGATCGTTCAGAGACCATGCATTCAGGAGAAGGTGATGATTGGGAACCTTAGGTCAGGTTTAACCATTATAGCCGTTATATAATATGACTGTCACAGATGGAGAAGATGAGGGCCCATCTATTGTCTACTTTGCTCTAGCTAGCCTGTAGAATAAGCTTAGCTTTTTTGCCTGTGACCAGCATCCAATTTCTCCTAATAATAACACTGCCTGATCAAAAATGCAGGTCATTAGAATGAATAAAATGATCACCAAGGTTGAATGTCTTGATGTTTGAACAAATTCTCTCCAGCAGTACCATAAGGAATGTGTAGGAAACAGTGAGGAGAGTATGCGTGTTGATCTTGGAGCTTAAAGGGTTAAATGAGTTATAGCAAGGGCGAGGCAGACATAAAGTATAAGACATACCCTCCCTGCACATGCCTTAAAGTGCCTGAAAAACGCAAAAATAATGCCTCTTCCACAGGCTACATATATAGTGCAAAAGCATAACAAATCCTTTATTGTCTGAGCTTGTTTGGTCAAGATAGCTTGATATTGGCTGTATTTTTTTGTTTTGCCATCTTGACCTCATTCTTTTGCAATAACGTTTATGTTATAGGTGAAAATTATATTAAGGTTAAGATTTTTTTACCATAGGTTGATTCTCAATTACCTTTATCTCCTAGTCTTGATTATTCATGAATTAGGGCTAGGAGACAAAGGAAAGATTTGAGAAACAACCTAGGTTTAAAAATTTAATTTTGACGTGGGACGTATATGTGGTTATTAGCGTTTGATTCTCCTTCTAACAGGGCCGAGTTGTTCGAAGGCCGATTAGCGCTTAACCCGGGGTTAAATTTAAACCGGGTTTCTTTTTCTTGTGTTTAAAAGCATTTTCTCGGATAATTTTCTCTGTTTTTTTTAGAGCTTCCAATCATCAACTTGTAGACAAAAAGAATTAAAACTGAAATGCTTCTTAAGCTTTCAAATCTGAATTCAAATCTCACACTAACCCTGGGTTATCTTAACCCAGCTTTGAACAACTTGGCCCAGGACATCTTTCCAGTAACCCTTCCACTCCAAGGTCAAGTTATATGTGTTCGTTTGCTACACTCTGTGTACTAAGCTACAAAGAGTGCATGAAAACTTAGACAACGTGGAGAAATTACATGCAATTAAGTATCTTCCAAAAACGAGAAATGTCGGGACCTCTACCCTGAGAAGACCCCCTGTGGTTCGGCTCTCATAAGCGATCGCTAAATCTTCACCTTTTGGGTGGCCGCTAGTGGGAGGTTCAACTGTTTTAAAATCTTTATCTGACATGTAACTATCATCGTTATAAGGAAAAAAAGAAAGTTATTAACCAGGGTAAGATAGCTTGATTTGGAATTAAATTCTCTTGATAAGTTCTTTGTGAAATTAATAGAGAACTTTTTATTACGCTGATGTAAGGTCTCAGGAGGTCAATTAGTTGCTTCCAGTAAGAGCATTTAAAATGAATTTTGACAAATAATTTTCGCAAAATGTACAAAGTTAAAGTTTATTTTCAAGTAGATCTTAATGTCAGTGATTGTACTTATGCCTACAGCAAGGAATAAAATGAAGGATACTAAGAAGTTGTGTTTATTTTATTGGTTCGTTTTTGTTTTGCTAAACTTGACCCATACTATAAAGTCGAGATAAAGAAGGTAAGGAAAAGAGAAATGACGACTGATGTGCCAAAGTGAAAGAAAAAAATAAATTGAACTTAATACTACTTAGAACGCATCACATGTTAAAATTAATTTAACCTAGAAATCTGAAATGTACATATTTAGCCTGACGATATTTTTGTCAGTTTATGCGTTTTGAAGTGAAAATGTTTTTGAAAATATGTGAACTGCAATATTGCAAAACTGAGTGATAATGCAGTGGATTGTTTAGGAATGTTTTCAAGTACAAGCAGAAAAATATTGTCTAAATTTTTTTAGCACAACACCTGTGATCTTTTGCTGTTGTTATAAGGTAAAACTAAAGATATAGTACATATCTTTTTTTGTTCACCTTTTAAACTCTCGGCATATTTACGCAGATACACTACGCCGTTCTTTTTCGTTTAACAGCTAGTGCTCAACCACATTGCCACAAGATATATCTTAAATAGAAAATTATGAAAATGGTGCGAAACTTGGCTTGCTGCCGGATGTCGTAAATGAAAATTTATCTCAGTTTTTCTTTGTCTACCACGGACGTGAAAAGTCTTTGTAATGAGTATTCCAGAGTACTGGAAAAGCCACAAATACCTAAGAGAGGGAGAGAAAAGCCATGGTTGGGGGAGACTAATTCGGGCGCCCGACTTTTCGATTCCGGTCCCCGTATTTAAGTCCTTTTACATTCGTGATTCTTGTACGTATATGACCGTATACTTAGAAATGGATTATTGTACTTACATGACCGTATACTCCTCGAAGTTCTTTGTTGTCGCAACTCCAAGTGAACCTTGCGGATTTCGCTCTTGACATAAGCGCAGTCGTACTTAGCTAGATCGCAAGTTTACCAATTTTGTGGAATGCTGAAGATAAGGTTGCAATGCTATAACAAAACTTTACATTATCACCGCAACAATTCGTTGAGATGTTTTCTGGTCATATATATATATATATATATATGATGGTACTCAAATAAATCAAGCCAAGAGCTTTATTGTTTTGTATTATTTTAATTTCGCTACAAGCTATCGCTAGCGTTTTTTTTTGGAATTCAACCGACTATCATTTTTTCTAATTTCTGATGCATATCTTCTTTGATTTATTTAGTCCTTTTTTGGCCACTGATTTTTTAGTTGGGACTTCCATAGCTTTCAGTGCACCGTTTTTGGCACCAAGAACTTGAGGGAATCCGATAATGCGATTTCCCGAACGTTCGAACTGCCATGTAGAACAGACCTGCCGTGAACCGGCATTTATGTCTCTTCAACCAGCCGCTCTGATTTCTGCAGGCTTTTTTCATGTCGGATTTGAAGGCCTTGTCACACTGTTTTCGACTCCATCTGTAATGATACCCCTGAAAAAGGTTTTAATGAGAAGTTGATAAGCGCATTTAAGAGAAGATAATGGTTTAACAGGTTCGATCTGGAAAGGGTGTCCTAATCTCTTATTACCTATCCTTTTTTCACAAGAATGCCGCATCCCAAACTTCTTTCATCGCTGTCCCAAATATCATTTTCTTTCCCAATACGCATTGTTCCCATTTTTGGCGAATCCTTCTTCCCGCCCTCAATCTACACGATCTCTAAGATCTTCGATTTCGTCGGAAATAACCGGCAGAGTCTCACGGCTGACTCCGACCTCAAAAACCAAACCCGATTCCAGATATACGGGAGCGTATGAACGTATTTATCGTTTCAATTCCAAATGAATTTAAGAAAGAAAGAGAATATGCGAATTATTCGAAATCGATTTGACGAAATCCTTTTTGTTGCTGTTCTAATGTAAGTAATGATGATGTAATTTCCTATAATCTTGAAGGCTGGGTCTGAGAATGGGTATGGACAGGATGGGCTCCTGGTATGGATTTTAGAGGCCAGGTCTGAAAAAGGGGGTGTGAAAAATGACATTTTTTAAAATCTAAAATAGGGTCAGGATTTGGAGAACCGGGCGGCACACCCCCACCAATAATTCCTACTGGTTGAATTTTCATAAATTTTGCGACATAGCTCCTTTTTATTTTAAAAACAGGTCACAATATCCGTGTAGAAAAAGATTGATGTAATTTTCCCCCCGTTGAAATCTCTATATCATGTATGATCCCCTGCGTAATGTACCAAAGTAAAATATCACACAACCTCGTCCCCAGGGCTCTTTTCCCTGGCTTTGAATTACCTAAATCAATCAGCCAATCAAAATGACGGATTGGCCGGCCGATGCCAGGGCCTTTTTCCCGCCTCACCTCCAGGGAAAACCGTCCTGGGGAAGAGGCTGGATATCACACTTACACAACGGTAACAGACATCATGTCTGTTGCAAGCAGGGGTGAATGTCTCCACAAATGGTCTGGGAACGCCTTTGGGTGTACTACAGCCATTGGTCTCCACGTGACACTGAGGGGATTCCGTTTTCAAAGCTGACGCTAACAGAACCATGTCCAACACGACCAGTATTTCACTTCTCATGTTGAAAATCTACAAAAAGAACATTACAAACTTTTAGTGGCTCGTGATGCTGTACAAACCGCTAAATAGCGATGAACAGCTCTTGCCTATCATTGACCATCATCAAGAGAGGATAAAGCTCCTCAGCTTTATCCTCTTTTGCCATCATAAAATGCGCGAAATTAGGCTAATTGATTTGGCTGGACACTTGTCACTCAGGGTATGAAGAAGGGGCTGTTCTTTGCGAGAATCAGGGCCGGATCCCGAGCATCCACATGATACCATTATGTTTCCCAATACCGCATCCCGTGAGTCCCGCTTCCCGGGTAGCAGTCAAATCCCGTATGCCGTTAAGAGATTTCGCGTTTTCTCGAATCCCGCAACGGTAATTTATCCCGAGAATAGCCTTCCAGACACTGGTCACTCGATAGAAAGCAAATGATCAGCAGAATTTAAATGATTCTATCGAACCCAGTCCTTATGATCGCTGGATTCGCTGTCACTTCAGTCTGTAATTGTACGTTGAAGAACATTATTGCCCAGATATAAAAGTAGAATTCCGAATAGCTTGAAATGTTTATGACTGTTTTTGCGAAGTGAATATTCAAAAAAATTTGCTGCTTGCCTCTTCGATCCTCACTCGTTTCCGACGATTCTGAACTAACTTTCAGTTTCCAACACTGAAAACGCAATAAACTGAAGAGTAAGAAATTTAAGTTCGCTATAAATAAGGAAAACCAGTCTAGGCTGTCCTGAAACGGCCGATTTATTTATTGGGATCATTATGAATAATATGTTCCCCCAGGCTTTAACCACTGAACTGAGACCAATTACGAAATCATAAGGCCACGAGGAAACTTACCGTTCTCCAACCTGTATCGATCTCTGTTCGTCTTATCTAATCTCCATGGCCAGTGACAGTTACTGGTGGACAAGTGGCTTTCTGGTCGTTACTGAGTCAATATTATTGCTGGTCGCAGGCCGGCTAGTATGGTAGTGAGTAAAGGAGTGGGATCAGATTACTCAACATGAGCATGCAAAGACGGGACACGAGTATATGAAAAATGAAAAAACAGTGAGATGACTCAGCGACCAATCAAAATGCAAGACCGTCAGGCATTGCAGCCGATCTCCTACTGACTGGTTTAATCATGCTTTTAAATTTATGAAAGTAATACCGTGATTATATCGGTGGATCTTTTACACTAATTATTTTCACAGAAAAGACCAGCTTCAAAAACTTACAAGAACAGGAGCACAAGAGTACTCATGGGCCCCTAACAAGAACTAACAGTTTTCTACGCGATAGACACAGGGTACAACATACATAATACGATATGAGTAAAAATTATGCCCTTATTCAGTGTGTTGTAATGAAAGCCAATAGCCGCAAGACCGAGCGCTTATTATTATATATTATCATTATCATTATTATTATTATTATCATTATGATGTCCATTCCTTGTAGACTCAGGCAGGATGTTCGGCTGGGTTTATAGTCTTTGGGAGCGAGTTTATTGTTACTATTATATTATTATTACTACTACTACTGTTATTGCTTTAAGTCAAATAAATTCATGTAATCAGAAAATTAGGTCACGCTTGTCTGAATTCCTGATAGCACGAGCCAACCTGGCGGAAGTAGAAATATTAAAACTACCGGAGGAGCCAAAGATTTTCCTGATTTAGTAGAAAACATTCGACTATACTAGGAATAGTCTCACTTTTTTCGGATCATATTTAGTCTCGCTTGCGTGAGCAGCGAGACTCATAATCTGCAACGTGTTTTTCGCCCGGGGGGGGGGGGGGGGTCCCTTATAGAGGCTATATACCTTATTATAGGAAATTAACGCTCCACGAAATTAAGGTATTGGAAATTAACGCGACTTAAATTAACGCGAATTTAATGGAAAAAGACTTTCAAATAAAGAAAATTAACGCGAAAGAGGAGGTAGAATTTCATAATAAAGGAAATTAACGCGATTAAGACACAGTTGTCACAGGAGAAGATATTGACATCACTTCTGACAGCGACCACGATGAAGATGAACTCGAAATATTGTAAACCTTCGCCTTAGCTTTTGTGAAAGATGAAAAATAAAGGGTAAATGGAAAGAGAGAAAGCTTGTAGTTAATGTTTTTTAGGTGTCAAGAATGTCTGGACAGGTTCCAAAATTGGGGTTAAAATAATGGAAATTAACAGAGTGGAAATTAACGCTGCACTTAAATAACGTCGCGGAAATTAACGCTCAACAAAATGAACGCGACTTAAATTAACGCGAATTTTAACGATTCGCGTTAATTTCATGCAGCGTTAATTTCCTATAATAAGGTAGGTATGTGCCGCACCAGAGGGTATGTTTTTATAGCTGTTTTGGTCTGAAATAGGGTACCAATTTCGACCATTTTGGTCTGAATGGGGTATGGTTTGTGCACTGCTAGTCTTGAATTGGGTATGAGTTTTAGAAGAATTAGCTACTTCTTCATCATTTGGCAATAAGACCATTTCCCTTTTAATGTTTACGCCAACTACCGTGTACGTGCCGTAACAGCTTGTCATGCGCTCCAGTCACGCGCCGGGCTTCAGGGCTTCAGGTCTGAAATAGGGTATCAAATTTTTGATCAGGTCTCAAATAGGGTAGGGAAAATCACAGATTTTGGTCTGAAATAGGGTAAGGGTTTCACGAAGCGTGCCGCACACCCCCTCCCAATTTTTCTGGAAGTACCCCCCGGAATTTTTGGGACGCAAACGGCAGGACCTTTAGCATCAGGTTTTTCATGGGAAACGGCAAGCCGCAAACCGCAAAATGTCACGTGACCACGGCCTTGCGGTAACGTTTGCAGTTTGCAGTTCACGTTTGAACAGCAGGAAGGGCTTCCAGCGGTAAGTGATTTACGGCAAGGTTTTTTGCCACAAAAAATTACACAGCTTCGCGTTTATAGGTATGAACTAGCTTTTTATATCCGTTTGCGATGTGTTTGTTGGATTTTTGATCTCGAATCAATGAATTATTGCTGATTTTTGGGCGATTAAAGTGATGCACTTCGACTTGATGAAAACAACATGGCGTAGTTCAAATCAATTTTATATTCCTTTCTGCCGTAATAACAAAGGAAAGTATTCTGTTCCAATCCAGAGTTAAATTTTTTTTCTATCTTGTTATTGAATTCATAACTTAACTCAGTCTCTGTTGGGTTCCTATTTTTAACGTATCAGTCCGCGAATATCATTTTATTTTGCTTATTTAGCTTCATAAAGCCTTCTGGTTTCTTCTGGGCTCACTTGCAACCTTACAATTCCTATATGTATTCTTGTATTGTAGTGTATTTTGGCTAAATAAAAATGAACTGAACTGAACTGAAAAGCCTTGCTAAAGTTTTAAATCTCGGCGACGCGAAACTGCAAACGCGTGCTGCGCATGCGGTTTGCGGTTTGCGGTTTACCTGATGCTAAAAGTCTCTATTGTGCTCGGCGTTCCTTGCGGAGACGGTGGGAACTGGGACTAAGAATCTTTGTGTGATCGAAGCCACGCATGTTTTGCGAAGAAAGCTCAGGAAAGATTAAATTTAGAGCTTTTCCGAAACGTACGTGTCGGTCCACGAATTCTATCTCTTGAAAGTCTCTTGATTACTTTGCAGCAAGTCAACACTACTGGGTGGTCGAAAAAAATTAGAATCTTAATTAGCAAAATTGCCATGGTGGGGTGTTGCAAACTTTCACTGTATGCAAATGAGTCTTGTCATGAGCAGGGCATTTATTTTCGGCGATTTAAATGACGTGCCATATAAATCACTTTTTCGATATCTGGCAATGATGTAATTTCTCTGGAATCGAGGCAAGGCCCTTGAATTTTCGTGTACCTATACACGCGTATAGGCTGCTACCGCAGAGATATTTTTGTCGTCGTTAACACGCGTACTAAATCGATTCAGAAACAAATAAAAGGTATCGATGTCGATAAAGTAGGAAGTAAAAAAACCTTTAGCGAGTAAATCATGTTTCTTGTAGAATAAATCGCCTCCCCATTTCTCCATCTTATCTCCAAACAGGCGAGACCTGAATGCCGCTGTAAGCGTGCTCTTGTTTTTCTTAGTCCGACTGAGCGAAACGCGCAAGACACGAAAATGACCATGCGTGTGGTGGAAGGCGCCCTCGTTTCTCGCGTCTTCGCAGCTGGACGCTCCAGGGCGCATGCACCCCCTTACAAAATCTGAAGAAAAAGAGAGACTGCTCGCGGTGTCACTCATCCTTCTCTCTCTCCGTAGGGACGAGTAGGAGAGAAACCTGGGAAGGCGCGCGAGAGGTCGAATCCGCCAGCTACGCAGCGCGTCTAAGATCGAAACGCGTAACGAAGACCAAAGAACGTCTACTGCACTCCTTGTGGTTTAGCACTAGCCTGCGTGGCAGGCGCCGCTTAGGTTTTTTATTAGCTTTTTTGGACCACGCGAAAGGAACACGCCAAGGGGAGGGAGGCTCCCCTTTTCACCCCGCGTGCGCTCGCGCGTTCTCGGTGGAAATTTCTCCCTTCGTCCTAAATGACCTGTGCTTGCTATGCAGGTAACTATCCCGGAGAAAAGTAGTTTAATAAGAAGGTTGCACAACTTAACAGAAGTCTATTTTAATGGTCAAAGAAGATGTTTTTCAATTTTGGTTTAGACCTTAGTCCCCCAATTCTATTCTATTATTGCGCGCGTCCGATGCGTTTCGGGTCATGTAGTCACCGAAATGCATTGATCGAGAAGGCCTGGGAAGATGCCGTACAGCAGGCGCCCACCACGGGTTAGGGGGAGGAGACGGATGACTCCGCACACTTAAAAACAAAACAGTGTATTACGCGCAAATATTACGCACATATGTAAATTAAGTTTTGTTCAAGATTGGGCCATGGGCTGGAGAAAGGAGGGGATAAAAAAGATAGCCTTCCCAACACTGTTGTAGTTTGGGACATGTTTCTGTGTTTTCAAGGAAGTTTTAGACTTTGATCATTCAGGGACCGTTCATTTTTTATGGGGTGGGGGGG